ATCATATGACATTATATGGCATGATTAACAACAATAACTAATAGACATGACTAGCGTTACTACCAACGTTTTGATTTAGACCCACGTTAGGAGAATTTATAATTTTATCTTCCACAAAGGTTACACAGACAACAGTGGAGAAAGAGGTACCTTATACAATTTTGAACACTTAACTAATTTCAAATTAAGTATTTTGTGTAGTGTAAATATTTAATAAATGCCCATACCAATCACTATCACAACAATGTAACAAATATATGAAACTTAGCTCGAATTAAAATTATATTTACACAACTTATTAAAGTATGAAAAAACATAACTAATCATTTGATTTCATTTGGTTGTTGGTCCTAAATTTGTGAAAATAATTAAAATATCACCCAGGAAATAGTATTGGATTGTATAGAGTAATCACGTACGACTAATAGCCGATTAAATAAATTAACATTAAATAACTATCCACATTACATATCTATTAATATGTACCTACTGCAACACTACAATAGAAAGCAGTAATTACTATAAAGGTATGCGTTCAAACAACCTGAATATTATAGCAGTTTTACAGGATAACTTTCATAAACAAATATATTCGGAAGACTTTAGTCACAATTTGAGATTCCTAAATCCTGCTAACATTTTATAATCGCAGATTCGTTATTCAGAATTTCTATTCTTAGTTTATTAAAAATAACATAAGTTATAGTTTAATAATAAATACTCATTAACTTCTCGTACTGAGTATTAAATATTTAAAAAAAATTGCTTGACATGTCATTTATTAAAATGTTTATATTTGGAAATCAGCAACATTTATTGCTATGTGAATAATGATGATAGTATAATGCCTTTTAAACTGGCCGCGTCAATATTTCTCGTGAAAAATGATCGAGAGCCGAATCAAACTTATGTCTGAAATCGAATCATCTTTAACAAAATTTCCAGATCGAGTTCCACTTATTCTTGACTACTATTACCCCAAGAAAACATACGTTACAATACATAAATATACCGTTTGTCGTATCACCTCGCTCTTAGATTTTTTAAATATTCTTTTTCTACCACATTCATACAACGCCATCTAGTCTCAAACTAAGTAGAGCTTCCACTATGGGTACTAGACAACTGATATAAATACACATATACTTTTGGTTTTGTAAATACGTACATATTATACATAGAAACAACCAGACCAAATCAAACATTAAATGTTCATGAACATAAATGTTTGACTTGAGCGGGAATCCAACCCGCGACTTTTGGAATAGCAGTTCGTTACACAAACCACTACGCCAGCCGGTCGTCAGATTATCTACTGAAACAGACAATCTTAGAGTAGACGCAACGCGTGCTAGGACTGAATCTGAGTAGAGACGGCTGGGTCGCGAAATGAACTGCTCGAACTTCTTAAGTTGCTATTAACGACATCAAACACAAGTACGACATGACTGCACGTATTGAAAGTAAGTGCTATTTTGTGGTCTCGTTATAAATAGACAGTGACCAAAAAATACATTATGATGACTGAAACATATAATTATGGAGGAATCCCTGAAGAGAAGTTCTTTAATCAGGGAGAATGTGTTACCGCTGTGCTCGTGTCAGGTACGTCGAATCATATACCGATATATCGCTCTCGTTTGCATTTCGACCGTGACACGGACGCTACTACGTTTTCCGGATGTTGCATCCCTCGTCAGCCATGGCTCCTAGTGAGTTCGATGGCAAGCGCGTTACGGTAGTCCGCGTTAAGAGCGGGACGTTCGTACATTCGGAGCCAGCACGCTACGAGAGTTTGAAGGATATGTCTTCACTCTCTTAATTTCTACGAAAGGACGACGACGGGTGGCCCAAAAAAGAACAACGTTACCAAAGAACCACTTCCCAGCGTGTGTACAGTACCCTGTATGAGGACAAACGCAATGGCAAAATGGCGACGTGTCCTAATACTGGATTTCGTTTCTGCCTTAAGGCTATCGGGTAGTAAATCTTATTAGCGATCCATCGTAATGAGGGGTTTCCTCCTCTAGTGGGTTGGACTGACTATGTTTAATGGTCTTAATAAAAGCTGTTCCCTTCCCGGATCTCTCCTGTTTAAGGCGCAGAGTGGCATACCGTGCAGTTTTAGTCGGTTTCTACACACCACCTCACTGCAAATCCGGTGGATTGACGGTCCGACAGATTACGCTAAATGCAAAAAAGATATATCGCTTTAAGTATAGATTTGCAGTTATATGTAACTGCAAAACTATACTTAATGGCCAACTTAGCCTCGAAGAAACTTGGTGTGCTAATAGAAATAGTATTTCGCTCCGATGCACCGTGTGCAACTTTATAAGGACCAGGTTTGGACTCATATGGAATACTTTCTCATATTTTCACAGGGTCACCCCTACACCAGTTTCTCCATCTCGACTGCATCTAATGGAGAGCGGTGTTCTAGGAAATCATTTGGACTACCAGCCGCAGCTTTCTGAAACTGAACAACGCGACAAATTTCTATCTAAATGACTTGTATAATTGGCACTACATCACTTAAAGCTTTTCACGAAGCTTTTTAGGAACTATACGTTGAATAAATTATTGTCCCCTGCGGTATTCCGATTTAAAAAAATATCAAGATTAGATATTAATCCGATCCGATATTAATTCGATATTCGCAAGGCGACATTTTCTCAAGAAAAGCGGGTACTCCCATCTCAAATTTTGGCATAGCACTCATGGCTCTTGAGTTGCAGATGTCCATGGACGGGACATACTTTTTAAACACTTAATTGTATTTTCAATTGAATTTTAATTCAAGTCAGGGTATATTTTATTAATTTTATATCAATAATTGTGTAATTAAGTATGTAATTAGAACAGTCCTATAAAATTAGTCTACTAGAAACAATCGGCACCATCGAGAGAGTATTATGTTGACCAGTTGTAGAAAAGCGATTGTTAAAAAAAGTATCATTAGCTTCTGAAAAAGAATACACTTTCAAACGGCTGGACCAATTTTGATAAAATTAGTATGGACATAGCCGAGACCCCGGATAAGAGACCTATTTCTTAGCTTTCTATGGATTCAACGTTTCCATCTCAACCCAGCCGGTTCCATCTCGTGCCCAAAGACTCTTGACAATCCAAGGTCTCTAAGAAGGTTATACGCGCACGCGTTATAGGTATATAACGCAACGAAATAACCATTTATAGTTATTTCGTTGGTTAAGTCATAGGACTTATTATTTTTTAAAGCGTGGTCTTTAGGGGTGTTGGTTTCCGTCAGCACCGTGAGTTCTACTAGTAGGTACTACACGCTTAATTGATTTAGCATATAGAAGTTTGTCAAGTCTGGACGCTGAGACATAGATATCCTCCGGTGTTCTGTAATGTTTTTCATGCGTGTCCATTAATAATGTCCAGTCACTGGCTTTTGTGAAGTCTTTTTCGTTGAGCCTTCCTTTACAAAATCGATGTTATTGTTTTATTTGTTTTTTTTTTTTTCGCTCTCGCCAATGATAAACTAATAGCTGCGCGTATGATTTCTGACCCCGGGCTAAAAAGCGCCTTACAGCCTGTCAGTAAATGTCTGGCTGTATCTATTTCCGCACTGCCCATCGTACTAGCCTTTTATGTAGCTTTTCCCCACTTTACTAGGTTGCTCTGAACAGGCAGAGTTAACTGCAAGGCGTTAAGGCAAAATTTTAATAAGGCTGGTGACCAGTCGTATAAAACTGTGCGCCATTTCAAAACTGGTGGGATACCTACAAGTCCAAAGGCTGCGTTTTATACCGAAGAAATATAGTGTTCCCGTGGGATGAGTAAGGAATCACACTTCACAAGAACAAGTTAATAATATACCTTTTAGTGTATCTCATAAACCGCAAGCGCAGGTAGCCCATTCATAAATTACGGAATTCTGGTATTTGGCATATTGGTAACAAACAAAAAAAAAACAAGCCGATTTAAGAATCTCCTTTCTTTTAAGTCGGGTTAAACGTGTCGCTTTAAGGCCCATTTAGACGGGGAGAGTTTCTTCGTCTAAACATTCACACCTCTCGCTTTTGTATTTTGGCGATAATTGCCTCGCAATGGAATATTAGTAGTGTCCGTGTAAACAGAATTTCAAAGAAATAATCCTACCCTGAGTGCAGTGCGTTTTAATTATCTCTCCTTTTTGAAACTAGAATTAATTGAACGGAAACGGAAAAAAGATATCAGGTTAAAAAATATATAGTGAGAATTATAATTGGAAGACGAAAAAAAAAAAATTATGTGTAGGGTTAAGAAAGTCCAATTTTCATACTAACTGAAACTGATCAAGAAAATATACAAATTTAAACAATTTTTTTATAGATTTTCATTTTGTGAGATGTTTTTGAGAACAATCTAATCACTCATCGAACGCGGTAGCAGCGTACGATTTCTCGTCCCCGAAACGTGGGCGAAAATTTCTCCGTCTAAATGGGCCCATACACATTCTATATTGCAGCTGTGAGCTACTGTGAACCGCCCTTACGCTTAGTATTTCTAAGTAAAATCATGCATTTTAGCATGTTAATCTTAGACGTAAGTAATACCATGAGGTATTCTTAAATCTAATATAGTGCGAAAATGTAGAGGCGAATACGTGTCCTATCTGTTCAAATACAATTAAGAAAAAGATTTTTTATTTCTTTATTAAACAAAATAACCTCTGGAACCTTAAGTTAGATTTGAATGAGAATTGGATAGAGTATTTACTGAGGAATAATATAGGTTATAAAAATAACGTTAAGAATCCTAGGAGACGTGCAGTGAACGCTAACGCAGATGATACTACACGGAATTGCTATCAAAAAGAAGAATGCTACAAAGTATGCTAACGCTAGGAGGAAGAAACGCGTTTTTTTAAATGGAGCTACAAAACAGACATTAGGTCATTATGATCGCATACCTTTATATCGTAATACAGCTTAAACGAGTATTAATTATTTTCTATAACCATTCACAACTAATCCGGTGAATAAAAAATCTTACTTTATCTTTGGTTTGATATGGAAACAATCGATATTGAAATGTTGGCACATTTCTTGTACCTGCAAAAAGAACAATCGGTTAGTGATGATATTACAGCATGTACGAAGTTTGCTGTTGTCGGTTTACTTTTTATTATACTTGTATTCGTAATTTAAAAAGCTCGAGAAAATTAGAATCACCTTCCTTGTATTTCAAAGTAGCTGTTGCCGAGAAGTCACTCTATCTGACATATCATAATATATTTTTGTAAAAAGTAAAACCATAATTATATATGTAACGACTATTAAACCACTTCAACTGTTTATTTGATTATTTTTCAAAATATTTTTACGAGGTGATCGAACAAGCAAAATTCAAGCATTCCATTACCTTTTGATGGTGATGTTGTATAAATAAATAATTGTGCAGTTGCGGGAGATCGATGCAAACGACACCTACTCGTTAATCGTTTTATTCGTTTAATCGTCCAATTCGCAGGTTCACAGAATGTCGCGTATACGCTGTCGTTGGATTTTAATGAGTAGTCAAGTTATTTGTTAAAAAAAAATATTCACCCTCATCAAAATGACGAGAAACTGAACTGGACATTCTGCGAACTGGACATTTTGCAAATTGGAAACGTCTTTTTGTAATTTTTTGTATGTAAGTTATCGATATGAAGGAAGTAGACATATTATGATATGTCTCTGGGTATGTAAATATGACTTGCCGTACATTAAATATAATAATTATGTTATTCTGCACGGACCCCTTGCGGTTTTTTATTTGGAATTTTGTAACATTGTTTTACTGAATAAAAAATTGAGTAGTACGTACCACTTTGGTTCCGTAGTGTATATGCGCGACGGAGCTGACGAGCGCGAGCGCGCCCAGCAGCGCCAGCTCGAGGCGCGGCGCGGCGACGCACTGCAGCGCCAGCGCCACGCCCGCCGCGTACAGCGCCACCAGCCCGTTGCACGCCTCGCACCGCGTGTCGCTCATCTGGGACACTATCAGCCGACACTGCAACACAACACCACCGCGCTCACTTCGATACTACCGACCGATGACGCTGCAGACGTAACTATACGTCATTTGAAAACTTGGTTAATTATATACTTTAATATCTATTTTATCCCAAATAACCTATATTTTAAAGAAAAGGCAATATTTACATTACGTATTTTGTATTTAAAAAAAAACAATTTAAATTTTCCTTGAAAACGCTGAATAGTGTCATGGCGTTTTGAATGACGCCACAGTCTGCCAAACAAAATGAAACATCTGTGTCCAATATGCTAAAAACGAAAAACAATAAGGAGTAAGTGCTCTGTTGTATGAAAACGTCAACAACGTCTAACGTTTTGCGTGGCGTGACTAACACTTTCTGTTTGGTGTTCGCTGTCACGTGACTTAATGCCTCACATCAACAGCCTTTAATAGTCCACTGCTGGACATAGGCCTCTCCTTGGAAAGGAGGTTTTGGCCTACTATACCACGCTGGCCAGACGGGTTGGTATAGGGTTTGTGTCAAGTTTTCCTTCTCTCTGCAGTGCTGTTGTCCTGCGTAGTTTGCTCCCATAGTCGCCTCTTACGACACCCACGGGATGAATAGGGGTGGTGACACTCTGTATTCTTAATGCCTATTTTGTTCGAATTTATTAAAAAAAAAAAATCTTTAACTTTTATGAGAAATAGACTGGTTTTTTCTTATCTATGTCTCTTCATTTATAATTTGAAACTATAAACCAAGCAATTTGTTATTAGTGGACAAAAGCCAATTGTTTTAATGTGTGTCACGATGACGATGTGTGAGTATGTGGCTCAAGATTTTACTATCCGATGGGATGTTGTTGTATGAAAAATAAAATTACGATTTCCTGCGGCACGAAGGCGAGGTAATAATAGTAGGTACTTAGACTGACAGTGTAGATCGATAACGCCCCAGTATATACTTAAGAAATATGAGGGAGAAACGGTCGATATTCACTTACGTTGATGTTGGAAAATATAGTGCCTGTTAATATGTAAAAAATCCGCGGAGCTCTGTTGATGATGTCGTTGGGTGAGTACATAGCCCACAAAGAACTCAGCGCGAAGAATAGGAACAATGGCACCAGAGGTCTTATCGCCTCACTGAATGAACGCATCTTGCCTGTGCGATCTCGATATGATCTAAAACCGATACAAACATAAAGAATTTATAGGATAGGGCGTACAGTTTTTTATATGTTACACGATATTTTTTGCTATTCATAAACCAATTACAATTATCCTTTTTCAATAATTTGCTCTGACACATGGTTAGTCTTAAAAATTAAAAAAGTATTCTACCTTTATAATAAGAAGAAGATTACAACCCAATATAATTTATCTGTCCTGATCTAGACACATTTTGTCCTCTTTTTAAAGATTACTTATGAAACTGACTATTCAGCATTTTATAAAGCATGAGTATATATTTTATTTGATGAGAAAGCTATTTTTTATGTATACCCACTTGTAAATGTTCCACAAAATAACTGTCTGGCTGGTGATCATTGCAGAGAAGTAGAGAACAAACTCGAAGATGACTCCCGGTGAAATGCCGCCGGGAAGTTGTACGTGCCACACTTTAGGACCGAACACTGATGTCACCAGCAACAATATGCAGGAGCCCTAAAACATATTGTACTAATATTAGGCGTTATAGACGCCTAGACAGATATTATATACTATCGTATAACATGTGCACATATGTCTGTGGTTTATTATTACCACCACAATGTATGTGTTCCGAACGCTCGCAGAAATAAAAATAACCGAAGCGCTTGCGTTACTTGCGTTGCATTTCAAAATAACAAATTTTTGTTAATAATCTTTTTGTACAGTTCCATTATTACACCATAAAACATTTGAATAAACATGTAAATGTTATACTCACAGATTTTGTTTCACTCACTTTTAAAGGCAAGCTGCCGTTAATTACCAAACGCTTATTTTGTGGATTAATCATTCTAGAGGATTAGTAATGCACACATACTTGTAATCTCTTTTGGTACTAGTCAATGATGCGATGCAACGGAAAAGTAAAAAAGCATAAGCGTAACATTACATGTTTACGTTCCGCGTATACCTATGTTAGCAACTTACAATCATAGTGAAGTCATATCCCCAAGGTAGGAACATGACGCCAGTGTTGTATTTTTCCCAATGTGTCAAGTAGAAGTTGAGGAATATATTCCAGATTAGAAACAGGAATCTTAGTGGACTCACTTCATCTCTGTAAAAATTGTAGGAAGAAGATTAGTTAATTAAGTTATAAAGAGATTCGTACTTAATAAATAGGACTGTCTTAAATAACCTGTTTTTCTCTCTGTGATTTTAACCTAACCTATTGAACAGTTGTACTTTACCTTCCTCTCTGTGTGTGATCAAGTTAAATTTAAGTTAATCGATGTTTATTCATAATATTTTCATGTCTTTGAAAAGTAACGAAGAGAAAAATAACATTCACGGAACTCTAAATTCGGTGTATTATGTACATCACGCTATAGAGATAAAAAAACACATGTTATCTAAAATTCTAAAAAAGCAATGGAATAGAAACAATACTATACTATACTAGACTATACCAAATAGTATAAAACTGAACACTTTTCAAATAAAAAATGCTGCAGAATAGTTATAAAAACAGACAAATCTCGGTATATCTGTGTTATAAATTATAAGTAAAACATAAAAAGTAGTAATAATTAATGATCATTTTAACAATAATGTTGTACTCGTATGTACGCGGGATCATATACCTTGTCAATGTTAATAACTTACTTAATTATTCACGAAACGCTGTTTTAATTTCAGGCTAAAAGCCAATAATCAAGGTGTCTTGATGTGTCATGTTTCAACCTTGGTACGTGCTAAGATCTACGAAGGACCTTATATATACACTAGCTACATCGTTCTCGAGGCAAGAACGATGTTTTTAGGGTTGTAACGCCAGGTTAGGCACTGCTGTTTTAAAAAAAAACGACTTTTTGTTGCCCGTTTCACATTACAAAAGAATGCAACTGTCCTTTGGATAGTTGCGAAATAAAAGCTATATCACAAGAAAGAAATGCATTTTAGAAATTTGATATTTACGTTACGACAATGTGTTGCCGCTGTGACTTAGCAAGCTTAATACTTTCAGAATATAAAATATTTTGTTCTACTGCCTTTCTTAAAATTGTGAAAGTAAATTGTGGTTGTATGTAGTTTTGTAGGTACTTCATCAAGTAAATAAAAATCACGGTTGAAATGTAATAGGCTTCTTAAGAACTTGGATCTTGAGTAAAAATAAACAGTTAAACCATGTTGATTATAAAAAGTAACATAAATAATAATAATACATAGTTGATTGCTAAGAGCCTCGACCAACACCATTATAGGCTCACATTAGACAGTTGGATTAAGACCCTTATGCAGAAAGCAGTAGTTCTCGATACAGCACGTGTTGTGAGGAGTACCTATCTGTCTCTGAAGTCCTATCCACCGGTAGCTCTGTCCCTGTACCCGAAACCACACACAGGACACATTTTTTATGTTTGGTGGTTTCGAAATACTATTTCAATTTAAAATTCCATGGGTGTTTTAAACTTCGACTTGGAGATCTATACAGATGGTTCAAGAACGGGCTGAAGGGTTTATTGCAATTACAATTGCGTCAGCGGAGACCGGACAGAGTGTCAACCAGATGATCACATTAATTATCTGACAAAATACCTATTAGAAAATACACACTATTAGATAACAACACCACTGCTATCAGTTACATTTATAGGATGGGTGGCAGGGGCACAATTCCCCCACCTAAACAATTTGGCGATGATGTGAGAACCGCAGTATATGGATTTTTGCATCTTATATTAACACATGGGAACATATAGAAGCAGACAAGGAGTGCCGTAAAACTAAGGGCTCGTGCAGCGTGCACCGAAATATCGTGCATTGCCTGGGAATACCGGAAACCGATCTCTTCATTTCCCCGCATCAATGCCAAATGACCTATTTTGGTTAGTGGAAACAAGATCCTGATGTCCTTGAGGTTGATGTATTTACGCTTAATTGCATTTCCTATTAATACTCATATCTGTTCAAAAGATTATTAACGATAAACCAAAAAATATACTCGTTTTCCCTTTTTGGCCCTCTCACCCTTGGTTCCCTCTTCCAAACAGACAAATTCAAGGCCTGTAGTGCCGTAATATACCAGCACATGGGACCCAAAAATACTTTCAGATCATATTATGTAAGAGTACACTTTTTAAATTTAGAATCATTTTTTTTCATGCAAGTGGCAACTCTGAAATTTGACAGCTGCCACCTATGTTCATTCCGATTATTAAAAATGGAGCGCTTTTCGAAAGTACAACGCGTTATAATTGTGAAATCTCATTACAAAACTGGGGAAAGTTACGCTGAAACCGCTCACAAACTTCGCCAAATTTTCAGTCGAGAAAGTGCACCTAATGTGTCAACAATTCGAAGAGTGGTTAAACACATTTGAAGAATCTGGGTCGATTATGGATGTTAAGAATCTTTTGGTCAACGTACCGGTCGGTCTCTTGAAAGCATTGCTGCTGTAAACGAGTGTCGCCTAAATTCCGAAAATATCAATTCGGCATTGTTCTCAACAACTTCAAATTTCACGAAGCACTACGCAGCGTATTTTGACAAAAGACCTCCACCTTCATGCGTACAAGATTCAGCTAACTCAGGAGCTCAAACCAGCAGACCATGGAAAGCGCCGGCAATTCGTTCAATGGGTAATGGAGCAAAGTGAAGTCGATGCCAATTTTTCGAAAAAAGTCATCTTCTCCGATGAAGATTTCCATCTGAATGGCTACGTGAATACACAAAATTGTCGAATTTGGGGCTTAGAAATTTATTATTATTAAAAAAATCTCTTTACTATGTCCTCGAATGAAGCATACTCATAAAATATGATCGAACTTCACTTTCGTCGTTCTTCAAGTTCGTTTGAACATATATAATTAGAATATTGTTAGTAAAAAAATTTAAGTTACCTGCCAAATACGCTGTAGAGAAAAGTTGGAATCAGGACAGCTGAGTACGAATCAAGGCCATGGTCAAACAGCTCTCCGAGTGGGCTACTGGTGCCAGTTCTTCTCGCCTGCTTCCCATCGATACCGTCTAAAAAATATATATTTTGTAAGTATGCTGTTAGCACATCTAAAACTATAATTGATGATAAAACACTAATTTTATAAATAAATATGCGTTTCTAGACCTTATTGTGACATGTGTGTGTATGTACGTGTTTGTATGCATATTATGTAGCTGCATTGTATGGTCATTTTTTTTCCATTTATTACTAGACGAGTATCCACAGCCCACGATCTACAAAGTGCTACAATTTAAGGTCATGAAATTTGGGAGATTTTTCTACTACCTCAGATTATACATAGCTCTTTTTTAAATAAGATTGAGTATACGTATAGTTCATAGTGCTCATAACAGAAGTACACAATACTGAGCAAGCGAAGTCGTAGTAATGTTAATTCATTAAGACTTATTCCAATTCAATTCTCAATGTTAATATTAAATTAATCATACGATGTCGTGTGACGTTGGCATTGACAGTTCAAAGTCGCGATTCTTCAATAGTTACCTAATCACAAATTGTCATAATTACGTTGTAAAAATGACATTTCTGTGTAAAATATATAAGTATAGATAATTCATGATGCTAGCGATACACTGGTTATGTAACGTAACATTGAATAACTTAGATGACAACATAATTTATTACAAGTGAATATTGTTCTCTTACAGGATATAAACTTAGGACTATTACTAATTTAAGTAAATGTCAAAGAATGTGAATATTTAAATAGATATTATAATTTGCGTAGTATTTGTTAATATCTGACTTTTTATCTAATTTAAGGTCAGAAAAATGCAAATGCAATATAATAAGATAAGAAATAATAGAAATTCGACAAAAACACTTATAAAAATTAGGTTTTATGATGCGAGAAAATACACGTTAATACTTTTTTTAAAGTATTTAAGTAAACTACGCTTTAATTATTTTTGAGTTTCAGTAATAAAATAAAATAAAAACATTTTTTGACGTGGGTGACCTTTGACGCGATGACAAAAGGTTTTGTCACTGTCACTTCGTGCGCGCCCTCCACTTTCGATACGTGACAAAACTTTTTCACGTTTTTCCCATTACATAAAACCTGTAAATGTAAATACTGTTTTATGTAATGTGAAAAACGTTAAAAAAACATTAAATATTTACTCGATTAACGTGTAAGTACTTTAACTATGTTTATGTATCCGTAGCCAAGCTAAGCGAAACGATTAGACAGAATTCAGATTTTCTCCCCCCTATCATGAGGCTTATCCACTTTAAACTATGTAAGACGAGATCTTGACCACATGTTACCCACGCGCACGTGCACGCCCATTAAACGATAACGGTTTTGGACTTTTGAACTCTAGCCACTTTCGGTTAATACACTATTCTACACAAGAAAATAAAAATTACGTTATGAGAAATCGGTCTATTGGAGAGATCTCTCTAAAAGTCACCTTATGACATCGTAGTCCTATCCTATCTATAGTTAAGGAATTTATGGACTCAGTGTAATTAATTTTAGAACCTTGTATGTCAGTTCAATGATTTAAGAGATGTGTACGCAGCAATAATGTGTAATATTATATTAATATTACACATTATTGCTGCGTACGCACATAATGCAGTAACAATGTAGTGCTACTAACAGCCAATTATTATTGTGCCTATAAACAAGTACCCATTTTAGAACAGTAATGTTAAGGATTAACACGATAACATAGAAAACAATATTATAAGCTTACTTGGAATTTATGACGTTACGCGTTAGGTTAATAGAACGAACTTATTATTTAATCTAAAATTAAAAGCTTAAAGAGAAAAAAAGAGTAAACGAGATACTAAAATATAGATACAAGAAAAAGAGAAGATTAGTGCCAATTATTAAAGACAAGAGAACCTAAACATATTAATAACAATATACGCATGTAACACGGATATTACATAAACTTTCATTCAATGACAATAACATTGAAAAAAAGAAGCTGTGTTGAAACTATACTGTTATCAAGGTGGAACAGTTAACATTTGATAAGAAAGGGCAGCGACAAAAATAAATAATCAAGTTTTTTCTAGTCATGTTTAGTTACAACGAATGTTTACAGATTAAGTTAACATCCATACTTATAAATGTGAAAGTGAGTTTGTTGTTTGATTGTTACACTTTCATGTCTAAACCATTAAACCGATTTTAAAGATTCTTTCACCAATGGAAAGCTACATTATCAGCGAGTAACATAGGCTACTTATTACTTTATTACTAAAGCTAGTTTATATATAAAGGAAAAGAGTGAAATACGAAATAAACGCCGACGATGTACACTCAATCATACTAATATGTAATTAAATACTTGTAAACTAGTATTTGTTAAGATAATCTGACAAGGGAAAACACAGTGGGGTGATCAGAATGTAGTTAACGAATTAATCTTCACGAACCAGTGTCAAACGACTAAATTTCATTTTATATGGTACGTAGGTCACTACATAAATTTTGAGACACGCATAGAGTAAACACACTAGCGATCCGCCCCTGCTTCGCACGGGTGTAATGTATGATTCCGCATTACTTTGAAATTCTCAGATTTTCTCTACAATAGATAATATGCATGTACAAATTCCCAACCCTATTTTATAACATTCTATTTAATCACATATAGGGGTAGTTTTGAAACGTTGAAGAAATTGGTGTCTATCTATTATATAATTGATAGAGAATATAATTATACTGAGAGTTTGGAATCATTAAGTTAAAAAAATAGTTCCCCATACAGACTTGCAAGACTTACAGACTTTTAGGAGTAGTTTTGAAAAATTAGAAACGAGGTTTGTTATTACTTTTAATAAAGAGCATTTACAGTGACGTTGAAAACGCTACTACCAAAAATCACGAAGTTTCATTTAAATTTCCAACTCACTCACACTAAACATTTTAAACAGTAGGGGTGGCATTTTTTAAAATCCTTTATCTACTTCTTCTAACCAACATTTGTGCAAAATTTAATACTTCTAGATCCACCGGTTTCAGCTGTGCGTTAATCGATCAGTCCAATGAACCATGCTGACAGTTTCTTCTTTTATAGATATAGATTTTTTCAAAATACTATCCATCACTCTCTATACAATTTTTCATCCGCCTAAACACTTATTCCAGTCTTCCTCCGACAGGTCAAAAATGGCTGATTCGTAGGCAGGCCCCGCTTGCCTTTAATCTTATCTTTTATGATGGGGAATAAAACGAAGTCGAGGCTGAGCTGGTGAGGTAGGGTTTCAATACCCGATTCTTGAATAAAGGCCTTTGTTCTGAGGGAAGAGTGTGAAAAAGCATTGTCGTGGTGCAGTCATTATTCCCCGGAGCCCGGTTTTCCGTCGTCTCTCCTGCACAGTTGCTCCTTTGGCAATGCAACTGTAGTGTACCATTCTGAGTTAACAGACTTACATGTCTCTAGCATTGATGTTGCAAGATGTCCACTGTGTAAAAAAACTGACCACAATTTTTTTGCCAATTTCTAGTTCTAAACCTCTCCCGGTCCGGCTCCGCCATCTCCATCGCAAGCATAACTTGCTCACAGAAGGAGACAGCAGAGTTCCACGCACTCTCGCTCCGCACCATGACCGTAATCATGTTACCCAGCGAAAGAAATCCCACCCCGATGGCCGCCACGAGGACACGCCTCTGCTCCACCCACGCCAGGCATTCTGCCAGCGTGTGGAGCGCTGTGTCCACGGTCCGGCCATCACAGTGGTGGCACTCAGGCGTTGGCTCCTTACAGATCAATTAGACTGCTTGGGCAGAGCAGCCGTCAGGCCGTAGGTACGCCAGCCGTACGTAGTATAATAACAATAATAATATTGTTAATACCTTAAAACTGACACCAAATTAGTATTTACATACAATGCCATGCGGAGCCGCGGCGGTCGCTAGTTGATAAATAAAACTACATTGTTTAGTTAACTGAAATAAGCACAAGTTAAAAAAAAATGCATCTATATTCTTGGATTCCTATAATATACGTACATAAAAGATGGGTTCGAATTCATTATGTCTGTTGCCCAGTATAATTTATTGTTAGCTCATAATTTTTCCAATAGCTTTTGTGTGACGGCCTTACAGTGTTGTACTCAAGGTAGTTCTGTTTTTTTCTTTTAATCAAGAAAATGAACTTTTGGTGTAAGTACCGGCTTTACTGTATAAAGTACAGTTGTACTCTATACTTATACTAGTATAACTCTATATACTGATATATAAAATACAGATGTGTAGATCACGGAGTACCTTGAGGATAGGAAGATGATGGTGACTGTCTGGTGGACCAGTACCGGACTTGCACAGCTTCGTACCGAATGACACAAAAGTGACGGCAGATGTATATTGTCAAGAATTGCAAATAATGATAGAGATGCTCGCAATTCAACAACCACGACTTCTCCATCGACAGACCATCGCAAAGCTACAAGAGTTACAGCTGAAAGCTCTCCGTCACCTACCGTATTCACTGGACCTTGAGTCAACAGATTTCTACTTTTTTCAAAATGTAGACAAACAGTACAAAACCCTTTCATGACTTCATCACCAGACCCACCCATCCAGCAGACTTCTACAGTAAAGGGATAAACAAACTGCCATCAAAATGGAACAATTGTAAAGATACATTCAGTCAAAAAAGTATCGGGAATAGATGATTTGTTTATGGTTCCAAATTCAAATTTTTTTTTTTTTTTTGTTGTTGTTAGACACAACTGTTTTCCATTTTGGCGCGGTGTTTGAGTTGCATCTGTTATTTATATTAAATACAGTGCTGTTTTTGATTATATCATATCTAGTGTATATTGCAAATTTCATAATGGACAAAACCATCGAACAAAGAGTTTGTCTTAAATTTCTCATCGCCAATGGAATTTTGTGTTCGGAGTCACTGAAAATGTAACAGAAGGCTTACGCTGAATCGACTTTATCAAAAACACGTGCTTATGAGTGGTACAAAGCGTTCAAAAGCGGTCGAGATGTGATGGAAGATTTGCCTCGCTCTGGTAGGCTATCAACGTCTGTAACTGAAGTTAACATCGCAAAAGTGAAGGAAATAGTGACTGAAAATCCTCATTCAACTTTGAGAGAGATAGCCGTCGAACTTTCTGTATCTCACGAGTCGATCCGTACTGTTTTAACTAATCATTTGATTATGAAACATGTTACCGCTCGGCTAGTCCCTAAAGACCTGAATTTTCTCCAAAAACTCAATCTCATGAGAGTCGCTGAGGACATGCTAGAACGAGTCAATTCCGACCCAACATTCATGAAACGCATTGTTACTGGTGACTAGACGTAGGTTTACGAGTTTGACATGCAAACAAGTCAACAAGCTTCGGTGGGCGCCTTCCAACTGAACCGAAAAAACCACGCCTAAGTCGATCAAAAGTCAGAGTCATGTTGACTGTTTTCTTTGACTATCGCGGTGTTGTGCACTCGGAGTTCTTGCCGGAAGGTCAAACAGTAAATAAAGAATATTATTTGAGCGTTATGCGGCATTTAAGATAGCAAATTCGACGAAAAAGGCCAGATTTGTTTAAAGAAAATTCTTGGATTTTGCACCACGATAATGCGCCTTCGCACAAGGCCATCATTGTGAACAAATTTTTGACCAAACACTCAACAAATACCATCGAGCAACCACCATATTCACCAGATATGGCTCCAGCCGACTTTTTTCTTTTTCCTAAACTCAAATTACCACTTCGTGGCACTTCGTTTTCAATCGGTAGAAGACATAAAGGAGAATTCGCGGCGAGAACTGAACTCAATTCCGGAAACAGCGTTTAAAAAATGTTTTGATGATTGGATTATTCGTTGGCATAAGTGTATAGTTTCTGAAGGAGCATACTTTGAAGGTGATAAAATAAATTTGAATGAATAACAAACATTTTGTGTATTATTGATCTTTTCCCGGTACTTTCTTGACAGAGTAGTAATTTAGGCCAGTACTTTGATTAGCTAAAATAAAAAAAAATGTGGTCCCAATATACAAATCAAAAATTATTATTGTATAAGGCTATCGGGACCGCGATCCAGATCCCGAAAGCCTCACGACCCATGTCACAGGCTATGCCTAGTTTGCTTGACAGCATTTAAGTCCTCTTGCACTATAGAAATTGTACTATCTAGTTACATACCTAAATATTAAATGTCATTTTGAACCAATAAAGAATATTATTATTATATTGTGTACATCTGAAGGTAATTACCTATGACTCTGTTCTATACGCCAAATATCGCAACAGCATTATAATGAGAAAATAAAACAAACTATTTTGGAATATTTAGCATTGTCGACGCGATCTCCGTCGGTTCGGATGATTGGTTAACAATGGTAACGTGACGTCACAATTTAAGAACTCGCTTATTTGTGTTTTATATGTACTTTATAGGCTCACAATAACGTTTTAATATGCGTATATACGAGCCATATCAGGAAAGTGTTCGGTTTGCAAACAAATTTTAAATTATGATATAACAGTATTTGAAAGATTTGTTTTATGAGCTCACCATACCTCTCTGTAGTTAGAGAAGATTATGGGCTTGTCGGACGTATTAGACCGCTTCTGGAAGACGCATTCCATTACCAGATCATGTCAACGATATTCTACAAAGTAATCTGAGGACCTGCCTGCCACACGGCTGCTTTACCTAACCCTTATTTTAAAAGGCGTCTCAAGAATCGGTTGAATTTTGATTATCTGAAATTAGTTTGAGTTCAGATCAAAACTTAAGCACCGATCTTATTGTAGAACGCGATCAAGCATTGATTTGAACTTACAATCTGTTCTCAATTACGTTGCCGCATGATCGACATTATTTTATTATTCCATTTCACGCAGCTAATGATATTTCATCATCATTATCAGCCTATCGAAGTCCACTGCTAGACATCGGCTTCTCCCATTGCACGCCACTTAGATCACTTTTTAATATTATACTAATAATGTTTTAAAATATTTTTAATTTAAACATAATTTCTGTGAATTTGTATATAACTATTGGCTTGTGTAGCAATGTAAACATATTATCAAGCTTCATATTAAAGTAAATTAAAATATTAAAGTAATAAAATTAATATGAGGGAGGTTCTATAAGAGCCATGGAAACAATTTTTTTTATAACTATTAATTTGTAAAGCGCTACCTTAGTAGGTTCGATTCCCCTATCGGTCAAAATTTTATAGGGTTTTCCTGAGAGGAAAAATAGCCTAAGTTACTCCTTATATAGACAGCTACCTCGTAGTAAAATATTATCAAATTTGGTCCAGCCGTTATGCTGTTTATTCCGGGCGGTAACACGACTTCTTGGCAATGTAATAATGTTTCCATTTGATATTTTCTTTGTAGTTTGATTTTCGATAAGATTCATGTCCTTAATACGGTGCAATTGTGTAAAGAATTATAAACGAACTGATACGGTTATCCAATTATAAAGAACGACTAAATTACTACAAACACCTTGGTTTCAATATTTATAATGCCCTCGGCACGGCCTAGTTTTTATTGTTTCTGTTTCAGCCATATTAGAATGATAGCACGAGAAGATTAGGAATTGAACCGGAGTGTGAAAAGCGTTTAGCTTTACATACAGCGTTCTAAAAGACATCTAGATCACAAGAGACTCCTTTTGAACGCCAATTACGCTGGACTACCTACTTAAGCCGTAACGGTGTGCCGTCTGTAGAGAGCAGCGTATAACGTGAACGTCCAAAGTGCATAGCGATCTTGCCACATAGAAGCCTGAGTTCGTCTCTTTTGTTGGAATACTAAGGAAGAATGACTTGTACAAGTCGTGACATAGTTCTGTTTTAGCTGCGTTTCAAAATAAAAATGGGTCCATAAAGTTTTCAACTACGGTTACAGTACCAAAAAATGTGGCAAATTTTGGCACGGCCGACAAGGCATGATAAAAGGTGCAAGCCCTATTACTATCCCTCACGTAAAATCTGTACTAAAGCCGGGAACGATTGGTGGGCTTATTATAGCTGCTATATCAGTAATGTGACCCGTAATATCAACCCAACTGTATCACTTAGTTAATTATAAACTGTAGGTAAATTGCTCACTAAAATATTAACAAATGTACGTGTTATGATGCCACTAGGAGACACAATTGCACTTTGAACTCTGTATTAACTTTTACTTAAGACTTAGTACTGAAGAATGTAGTGTATAGTAAGAAGTGTTTTACATTAAGACAATGGTGCCAATTTTTAATGTTATAAAACTCTTTAAACTACATTACAAACATTCATATGACCTTTTGATGTTGCAGGTGACTTGACATCTATATATTTTGGAGAATTTCCATAGATATTAGAACATTGATATTTTTCAAACAAACATCCATAATTTAATTTGATGAAACAACAGTATTGTGAAGCCACCAGAACATACTCGAAGTCCCTTAACGAAATAAGAACATTTTAGTTTAATACCCAAGTTCTAATAAGAATAATAAAATTGGTTCAAGTAATTATTCAATACATATCGATTAATGACATCAATGTGTTAAGGAATATTGTGCTTTATTACTTATTCGTATATCTCACGATTTAAAAAAATATGTATTTCGATATAGCTCATCATAATAATTAATTGTTAAGACTTCTTATTCTAACTAGCTATCAAACTTCGAAATTTATCTTTCGCATGGTGGTCTTACATGAAGCATTATGTACCTCCAATTCACAGATCTTAGTGGTGCAGAAAAAACTTGTAAATAGTGGCAAAATTGTATTGTGCTACAAGCTCAGTCATATTAAAAATATCAAATTCTAGTGTAGACTAGACACAATGTACCTACAATATTTTTTGAATTACCTACCAGATTTGATACAATGTTACTCAAAAATTTTTGAATACTCTTTAAACATTTTAATAGCCAAATGATAAAATAAAGAGACAAATGTTTACTATTCCATTATTATCCATTAAAAATCTTTCTGCACTAAGTAAACTTTCTGGTTAACTTGGAGCTTTCGCTGTGACATGTCCCGAACTCAATGTTCTTCTAGCAATACAGTGCTCTCAGCTTTATTGAAAGCAGCTATTACCAGCATATAGAGCATAAAGCCAGAATACTTCAGCCAACATACTTTTCTTTGTTCTCATACTTTGTGAATGATCATAGCTAGCTCTCTTAATTGCATGAATATGAATTAAACAATTGTTTAGGATCACTCTGTAAAGTGACAGATTAAGAATACTGAGTGTGGTACTATTCATTCTGTGGGTGTTGTAAGAGATGATTAAGGGAGCCAACTATGCTGGACAATAGCACTGCAAAGATAAGGTAAACTTGATGCAAACCCTTTACCAACCCATCTGGCCAGCTTGGTATAGTATACCAAAACCTCGTTTCTAAGGAAAGGCCTGTGTCAAGCAGTGGACTAATAAAGGCTGATGATAACTCTGTAATAATTTGATGTTGTAAATAATTTTCAACATTTGTCTAAAATATAAAAATTCAAACAAATGAACTTACCCAATGTGTATGCCACAAACAAATTAACAGATGAAACAGCCCACACCCAATTAGGTATACAGTCATTGTTGATATTTTCTTTGGTCATAGCATAAAATCCATAATCATAATAGGTGAACAGGAAGAAATTTAAGACTGTTAGCAGAAAGCCACTGAACGTAAGCAAGTTGGGCGCTACCCATTCCGGACAAAACTGCAAAAAAAAACAAATTTGTTAATGAAAAATCATTCATATATTTGTAATTGATTCAGTATCTTTCTCTACTAATATTCCAATAGTATCCTGTCATACATTAATAAATAAGAGGATGTAATAAGATGTAAAGAAACTTAAAAGAAGGAAAACCCAATTATGATTAATATATTGTGTTGGTTTGATTAAAAAAAGGTGGAATGTCTATTTGAAAATAGAACTCAATACAATAAGTGCTTCCCAATGACATAGTAGGTACCAAAGTATTTTATTTTATTTCTACAATCTTATAAACTATATTTTCAGTGATTCTAACTAATATTATAAATGCAAAAAATTAGTTTGTTTGTTTCACATGATAAACTACTGGTTTAATTATCATAAAATTTTGGATACAAATTATGAAGGGTACCGACACTAACAGGTATTCTTTTTTTAATATAAAATGTGCTAAACTCAGCAATAAAATATGTATTATTATAACTTTTGAACTGCAAGGTTTAAAAGGAATAATTCAAATTCTATTTTTACATTTACCGCACACATAAAATATAAAACAAAAACATTTTTTTGGTATGAATTGACACATAATGCCATAAAAATGTAGTGCACTATTTACTACTATTTTTATTTAGTTAACATAATACTCACATTGGATAAATTTTTGGTACAATGAAATTTGAGTGTGATTTAATACATGTTTAGAAATGACATTTCTGAATGAAACTTACTTGAACGCACCAATTCCAAAACGGATGCATAACATAATTACTGAGTATGCTGGTATCCACCGAGTTATACTGTAATAACAGCAATATTAAATTTAATAACATACAGGTTTTTATTTCTTCTCAGGTAAATATTTCTATTAAAATAAATTACAGGTATACTAATCACAACATTAATTTATTATTTGTATTAATATCATTTACTTTAGCAGTGCAACAGTTATTAAAGTCACTCACTTTATATTTATCGAAACCTTCTAATTTATCCTCAGACAGGAAGCGAGCCATGACGATGTTTAAATTACGTTTGTTATTTGAAAGCAATACAAATTAAATTCATCGTCTTGTCGGTAAAAACTTATGATTAAAAAGAGAAAAAGTTTAATCTCTGTACGTATTTTGCTATATTTTTCTTGCTAAGAGCAACGTAATTTATTAAAAATAACAAATGTAACCACACTCAAGCGATTGAAAGTGACATCTGAAAATTCAATGTACGGCACAGTTTTCCACTGCCCTGCCTTGCCAAACTATGTAATGATGTATGAAAACAAATGCTAGAAACTGGAGCAAAAAAATATGGCGGCTATTTCTATCCTACTTACTCATATATCCCTGTATTTCTCATCTGTCACATTTGTCACTATACTTTGTTCTACAATTTGAATTTGATATTTTTAACTGTTGTAAATTTATATTTTTTTTTAAATTTGTAGTATTGTAGATTAATTTAATATGTGTTAGGCATTATCATTGTTCTTTGTGTCTCAAAACTTTAAAATGCATCATAAGACTTCCAGGTAGGTTCAAAGTAGAAAACGTTTATCAATGGCAACATTGCCCATTTTCGAGAAAAAACGGGCGTCGCTCGGGGAAAAGGCATCCCTCGTGCACAGACTATAGCAGATACTAACGTACTTTTGAGGGTAGTCGCGTAAGTCCGCCATTGTACAACTTGTAGTAGTGCATAAAAAAAAACAAACACCTACATAGTTTACCATGGATATCAAGATCTAGAAACTTGGTCCGTAAGAGTTTGTCTTTAGTGTAGACCACATAAACTTGATTGCTACTGTCCATTTAAGTAATTGATTTTTAAGTATTTATTAAGTACTACCACCACATTGGTAGCAGTTGACCTACCCTTTAAGAAACCATGCTGTCCTGGAATAAACACAGAAATAATTGCTTTGTATAGTTAACTGAAAACAATAGGCTCAAGTAATTTCGCTATTAGACATAATTTGGAAATTGGCCTATAATTAGCAATTTCACTCTTCGATCCTTTTTATGTATAGGTGTGACAAGTGCAGGTTGCCATATGGAGGTCATAAAAGCTTCATTCCTGGAACGCTAAAAGAACTGAGTAATGAAAGTAGACAATTCATTGGCACAGGACACACAGGCCATCAAAAAATATTACAAAAAACCAGAGTATACTTTCCCGAAGGATTTTGGTGCGCTGAATCCAAATCCAGCCGCAGAATTGCTCGATCACGTCAGGTTTTAGAGATCTTCTAACCCAAAAGTGCAAAAAACGCATGCAATGCAAACAATGTCCATTTTTCAGGTTATGTAACCCTTCGAATTTTATTATGACTAAAAAAGTACACAGTTCATCTTAAAGTTTAAGTCTCCAGATTTTTAAAGACTTTGATTTAGTTCGCGTTGCTTTGGAACTAAATCTAGCTGATCTCCGCGGGTGGAGCTACTAGTAGGTTCGTATAATAAAACCAAACTGTAACTTGAACTAAGGTAATGTATTTCAATTAACTTCAATCGAACATAAACTATCACATCGGTCTTATACAGGTAAAACAGTAACCCAACCATAGCGCGATTCAGGAAAGAGAAACAACGCCATCTATTGAAAACAGGTGTAGTTATTTTTTGAACTTCAATATAATTTCGAATGACTTTCGCTATGGTTTCGCAATGGTTATTGAGCTAACATACATCGTGAACATACCGCCCACCAAGGACATTTAGTGACAGAATGTCCTTTACAAAACAATGGTTCATTATAATTAAAAAATGATACTTAATATCTAGATTGTTTTCCAGTCTAGCAACATCTGTGGGTCCAGCAAAGGCTGAACATGCGACCTTAAACATGTGAAAAGCATAAACTAGCAATTAAATATAACAAAAGGTGTTCTCTTAAACTAAATAAAATATAAGAACAAAGTAACTAACATGTAAAATTTTTACAATTTAAATACAAAGAAATACAAGAAAAGAAACAGAAATACAATCAATTAGTCAGCCACAGGTAAAATGCATATTTTGCTTGTTGGCCTTTTAATAGTAGAGGCCTTGGTACGTAATGTGACCACACGAGTGACATTATCATGACCTGGGTGTTTTTCTAGTACGCGACCCAACAGCCAACGACTTGGAGGCAAGTCATCGTCTTTAATTAGGACAATGTCTCCAATTCTGGGTTCGGGTATGGCGGCAGTCCATTTGTATCTATTCATCATATTCGCAAGATGTTCCTGGGACCAACGACTCCAGAATGATCGCAACATTCGTTGTACGAATTGCCACCTCGTCACGGAACTAATAGTAGAATTGTCGTGATTATAATCAGGTACATTAACCAGGGGTTCTCCAACCAAAAAATGCCCCGGGGTTAAAGGCATGGGCTCCCCAGGATCATCAGTAGTGATCACACTTATAGGACGCGAGTTCAGACAAGCCTCAACTTGTGTAAGGAACGTACTCAATTCCTCATATGTGAGTGTAGACTCACCAACGACGCGTTTAAGGTGGAATTTGGTAGACTTGACTCCCGCTTCCCACAGACCGCCAAAATTGGGCGCGTGAGGTGGAATGAAGTGCCATTCCGTGCCGTTAGCTTCTAAGTGCTCTGCAATCGCAGGTTGAGCCTTAGTTAATTCTTGGAGTTCTCTTGAGGCGCCCACAAACGTCGTGCCATTGTCACTCCAAAGTTTGGCACAATGTCCTCGCCTGGAAACAAAGCGCCTGAAGGCAACTATAAATGCTTGTGAGCTCATGTCACTCACAACCTCTAAATGGATGGCACGGGTAGACATACAAACGAATACGCAGATATAGCCCTTGTATGCACGATGTCCACGACCCTTTGTCGTTCTGATATTGATAGGTCCAGCATAGTCAACCCCACTATGCAGAAAGAGCCTGGTTGGTGAACAGCGAACCGATGGAAGAGAACCCATCATAGGATTCTGTATTTGAGCTCGTTGCTTGGCGCATGTTACACATTTTCTAATGCACAGTTTTACTAGTTCCCTCACTCCAATGATCCAGTAGGCTTTCCTCAAGTAATTTAACATTACTTGAGGGCCACCGTGCAGTGTCTTGCGGTGTGCGTCTGCTACAAGGAGTTGGGTAAAATGTTCTGTTTTAGGCAGCACTATTGGATGCTTTATTTGCTCTTCCAGTGGTGCCTTTCCTATCCTACCTTGCGCCCTCATAACGCCTTTATGATCAAGATAGGGGCATAGAGCTTTCAACTTACTACCTTTCATTTTTAAGTGACCTAGCTCTTGAACCTGTTTTAGTTCCTGTTCAAAGGTTTGTCCTTGTGTCACCCTTATGCAACATTCTAACGCTTCGTCTATTTCTTGATGCTTTAAATAGCCCTTATTTTTTTCTTTCTTCATGAACCGCCTACAATATGCAATGACTCTTAACAATCTTTGTAGCGTCGAAAATCTTTCGAAAAGTGAAGGTTCCGCAGCTGTTACCATGAGCGTCTTCACGGCATGCTCCAATTCAGTCTTCAAATCAATTGACTTTTGGTATGTTATAATTTTCTCCATTAAAAATAAAGGTCCGGCAAACCATAACCGATTTTCTATGAACACACTAGGCAACAAACCCCTTGAGGCACAGTCCGCTGGATTATTTTTCGTAGACACGTGGAACCACTGAGAAGCCTGCATTGTAATCAATATTTCTGAAGTCCGATTAGCTACGAATGTCTTCCATCGGCTTGGATGACTTCCAAGCCAAGCAAGGACGACGGTAGAATCGGTCCATGCTGTGATCTTATCGTTCGTAATGTTCAAAACTCTTGCTGTTTCGGCCAGAAGCTTAGAAAGCAAAACTGCACCACATAATTCCAAGCGTGGGATACTAACTTGTTTTATCGGAGCCACTCTTGTTTTTGCCACCAACAGCGAAATGTGTACTTTACCTGTCACATCAACCGTACGCACATAAACCACGGCGGAGTAAGCGACCTTGGACGCGTCACAGAACCCATGTAGTTCGAGATCATCGCCCGTAACGTTACCCAGCCAGCGTGGGATTCGAATTGAGGCAAGTAAACACAACTCTCCACGGTAAGTACTCCATTCGTTAGCTAACTCGGTAGATAATGCGTCATCCCAACCAACACCAGCCAGCCACAGTTTTTGTATAAATATCTTCGCCAGCACCACAGCAGGAGCTAGCCATCCTAATGGGTCGTACAATCTGGCTATATCGGATATAATTAACCGTTTTGTTAATGGTACCGTGGTCGGCGTAGGCAGATTTACCGAGTATTGAAAGGTGTCTTCGTTGCGATCCCAGGTTAGTCCTAAAATTTTTATAGTGCTATCAATCTTAATTGCTACTTCCTTCTCTTCCTTTTTGCCCTATGTGTTTTGTGTTGTTGTTCTCTGCTTTGTTGTCATTATTCTCTTCCTCAATTGAATGAATTTTTGCTAAGAGTTCCTTGTTGTTAGTGTTCCATTTTTGTAACGTAAAGCCACCCTTCCCTAACAACTCTTTCATTTGCTGGTAAATTGCTAACCCTTCATTAACACTTGCACAACCCGTCATTAAATCATCCATATAGAATCCATTTAATACCTTATCCGTGACCAGTGGATATTTCTCACCTTCATCATACACTAACTGATGTAGAGTTCTTACAGCTTGATATGGCGCCGACGCAGTGCCGAAAGTGACTGTAACCAACTCATAGTCCTTTATGTCCTTTGTAGGGTCATCACGCCAGAGAATCCTTTGGAACATGGTGTCATCCTTCGCCACGTATACCTGTCGATACATCTTGACTATGTCTGCGACGAGTCCACTAGGATGTAGTCTCCACTTCAAGACTGTGTGCCTCAAGTCAGCCTGTAATTTTGGCCCAACCATGAGAGTGTCATTTAATGATATTACATTTTTATTCCTTTCAGATGCATTAAATAGGACTCGGACCTTAGTAGTGGTTTTATCATCTCGTATTACCGCATGGTGAGGTAAGTATACTGCTATATCTTTCTTAATATCCCTCTCATTTACAG